ACACACCAAGCTGGTAAAAAATTTATATTAATCTTTGACAGCTCATGAAGCAACTTCATGTCTGCATCCTAATCCTGAAACTATAACACTGATCTTACAAGACAATCAGTACAGGGCAACTCTTGAAAAACAAAAAACATATACAAAAGTAATAGATATACAGTTGAACTAAAAGCAGAACTAATTATTGTAGTTGGGTGCTTCCTCAGTTAAACACTAGGAGTTCTTTTAGTACAACCTAATGCTAACAAAAGCTGTCTAAGTGTGTCAGCTCCCACAAGACACTGTAGCTTGGAGGCTGAGAAAACTATTTTATAGATCTATTTCCTCATTGCAATCGCTGACATTGAAAGATCTCTTTGCCAAAGAGAGAACACACATTTCAGCTAAATGCTTGGCACACTTGGGGTCTCTGAGAAAGTAACTGGATGTGGGGCACCAGTAGTACTGGGGGTCAGTTATTTCTGTGCCTGCTCTCAGGATCACAGGAGCCTGACTGCTGCACTGAGGGTCAGATGGTTCCCCTTGCACAGACCCTTTCTGCTGCCTCACCCTAAAAAACAGTTTGTCCTCCACAGAGCTGACTACTTGCCCTGGGTGCTCTTAACAGTTCCAGAAAACACTGGGCTAAAAAAGGTAAGGAAGTATCACTACAATTCACAGTGTTCATCCTCCACCCTTAATTTTGAGTCTGATACTCTCCTCAGGACACAAAAATTATCCCCCAGGTTGGAGGACACTCCACTTATGTTTACAACCCATCTCCACTTCCTTAGAAGACATTCTTTCCACAGCTGCGAGAAAGTCCCTCCTAGCCTGGCACGAGGATTGAATACTGGACAAGAAGCAGGAGGCGACAGTATTTTGGCCAAGTCTGCCAGGGCAAGCCTGTATCTGACACATGCCATGAGAATTGAGAGTTCCCACAGAGCGGAGAGCATTCCTGGCTTGAAATATCTTATCTGAAAGTGCCAGACATTGGAAAGTACAGAGAGCTGAATTTTTTGACCTTGGAGGGATGAAAAGCTGAGTCAGCCTTGCTGGGATTCAAAGTACTCAGGAGTCCAATATTTGAAACCTGCCTTTCATCCACCAAACAGGAAGAGAAGAGCTATCTGGATTGTTTTTTTCCTTATTGCCTGACCCTTCTCCTCATGAACCAGAACTTTTCTAGAGGCTTTTTAAAAATAAGAAACCATTTGCTTCAGGAAAGCACATTTTGATACTATAAAGAGCAATTTTTGTGATGAGCCTTCTAACATATATACACATATATATGACCATATCAAACTAGTTAAGGCACTTACATTGCACATTTTTAGAGTTTTTTTGGTGGATGTGGAGATAGGGGCTTTTATTTTTAAATCAACAGAAAAGATTAGATACAAAAGCGAATATGAGAAAGAAAACACTCCATAGCCCTTTGTACAAGAGAACCGATCAAACAGCATACATGTCTACTCATCAAGCAAGGGCCAGGTAGCCTTGAAACACTGACAAAATAGAAAATGTCTGTAGCAACAGCTTGTTAGGGTTAGGAATGTAGATGAGGTCTGCCTTGCCCTATGCCAAAGCCTGCAGAAGCTGAGAAGCCCAGGATGGCAGCTGCCTTTTCAGGAAAGTTCTGGATCATGACAGTAATGTCAGATATGATTGCCCATCCATTTCCATATCCATCCACTGTATGTCCTGCTCCCTCACCAGTCTAGACTCCTCCTAGCTCTCCATTCAGCTCAGCTTTTCCATTTGCTCCTTCTTTTCCTGTGGCAGGAAAGACTTGGCCCAGCCTAGGTGACTTATGATAGGGATAACATAAAATTTTTCTTTTTCTCTGCGCCTAGAATCTGCTTTAATGAATGTCTATTTTCATCAAAAAGGCAAAGCAAAAGCCACCTTTTCCCTCCTCCAGTCCACAGAAGTGTTAGTATTCAGACATAAATTAGTTCCAAGGCAATTCCTTGACATCATCTTTATATTCATGTATCATTAAATTTATCCCAGTAATATCAGTATAACGTCTCATTACAAAATTTACAGAAATGTCTGAGCACTTCTGATAAAGAGGACTCCTTTGATCTGACTTTCAAGGAATGAGTTCCTGAACACAGATTCATTCCAGATCTGCCATAGGTGGGAAGGACAGGACACTCATCCAACACTGTTCTACTGCAACATGATCCACAAAAGATAAAGTTTGGAGCATAGGGTTCCCTCAACTCCTCTTTAGAGAAGAAAGAAAACTTCCTTCCATTGAGGACACACTCTGATCCCCTCTAGGTAGGCTTTAAATTCATATGGTGCCAAAAAATCCACAAATTATTAAAATTGCACAAACTTCCATTGCTGGAGTCAGGTTTCGTCATCAGCTCCTAAGCTGCTTTGGGAAGAACCAAGCTTCTGTTTCTATCTCCATTCAGTGCTAAGCTATGTAAAAACTACTTAATTGATAATATAATAAAACCCTTTAGAGTAAAGATTGAACAGTAACTTCCTTTCAGTTCACTAGTACACACTCATCTCTAACTATACATCAGTATGATTCTACATATACAGAAGAACTCTAACCTTCAGATTAAGTGTCCAAATTCAGCTACTTCAGGGAAGAATACATGTATTTACAAAATGGATTACCTTCAGTAATGCTGAATAAGACCAGCTGTGGAACAAAGCTGAAAGCAACCCAGTTTTCACACTGTCTAATGCTGCCTCACTTGTCCCAGTTGTGAATCTGCCTCAACAACAAGCAAAATTGTATCATATGTGGAGTGTTTTTACATTTGGTCATGCTCTGACTCAGGCAATTAGGATTGCTTTTCGTAGTAAGATTCTCTTCATCACTCCATACTCTTCCATATGCTCATATAACAGATCTCAGTGCAACATTTGGGCCTGTACAAAAATGAATAGGAAGCATTCTACAATGAAGGCATTCAGCTGGAGTCAGAATTAGCCAAGATTACCAAGAAACAAGTCATGTCATCACAACTCCGTTTCTAGCAGGTGTTTCCCAGGGCAAACAATGCTGTGAGAAGTGTGTGGAATAGACAGTAACAGGAACTTTTAAAACAGTGTCTAAAAAACAACATGATTTGCATTCTTGTTACCGGGGAAAAAATAAAAATCTGCAATGGGAGCTTCATACCAAGTCATCTCTCCATTAATACTATCAAACGTTGTTCTTTTTCCTCTAGTATGTTTCCCTAAGTTTTAACTTTATTCTGAGAAATTCCAGTTGTAATCAAGTCCCTTCCAAAGTCCAACAAAATACATTATTATTATTAATATTTCAACCAAACATGTCTTATATCTATGTCTTATTAACTGTACTTTGATGGTCCCTAAAGTTGCAAGTTAAAGGCATTGCTCATCAGCTCTCTTCACATCTCTAATTCTGATGCCAGGCAGACATCAGCTGTCCTGCCCTCCCCCCATCCTCCTGCTAACTCATACCTTCAGAGTTTGCTTGATGAGAGCATAGGAAGCGCAGAAGGCCAATACTTTTCATACTGTAAAACGCATCACAAATAAATAAAACAACATCATTCCAATGTTAATTTACAGTCATTTGCTTTGTGTTTTGCAGTAGGAAAACCCAACAGATGTATCCAGACCATGTTGAAAAAAAACACATACAGTACGGACTGTCTAATTAAGATATGAGCCCTATTCCAGCTTGTGCCAGACAAGACCATCACATCCACCCTTACGAGGAGCAGTCGGATCTCATTACATTTATTATTCCATACTTTATCAAATATAAGGGACTAAACATGACAATAAATATAGACATCACGACAAAATTAGTGGCTGCTTTATTTTTGCTGCACTTTTGAAATATAAAGCACACAGGGAGAACAGAGCCAGAGACCACTCCCTAATTCCTAGTGGACATATTGATCAATTAAAGTGACATATGTCTGGTCTTTTCTTCCCTTCTAATAGCTAGCTGAAAGACTAAATCTTTTAAACATGCAAAATCAAACCATTAATGTTGTTATATACCATCTAGCAAGATTAACTTGAAGTTAAACAAAATTAACCTGGCCTCCAGAAGCAAGACCTTATTACAAAATAAACAACTATTGAACATTGTAAAGAATTTCTAAATATTGTAGTCATTATTTTAACCAGCTTTCTAAATATAAAAGATAGGTGTTTTTTCCCAAGATAAAGGTGGAAGCCTTTTTAATTATTCCTATTATTTTATTCATAGCAAATCCTCTCAGAATGCCTGAATCTTTGGCTACACCTTTTACTGCAGTTGCAGCAGAAAAAAAAATGCTTGTTTTCTTCCAGTGAAAGATAGATCTAAAATTCACTAAATTCATATTACTATTTAAAAAACAGATTCAAAGAAAGTAAAATAGTAGAAGAGCTAAAAGCTACTGTACTTTCAAAATATCTGGTAATTGTTTGATAATTATATCAATGGTTTGCTTTTTTAAGAATACAAGTAGAAATAGGACAGTACTGAACCATGTTTAAAATCAATACTGTTCCAGTTGCTTGTCCAGCACTGGTTCGCAGAGTATTTTCTGTACTATCATGCTATGGAAGGCCAGTGAAAGTAAATACGTGATATTCATGCTATTAAAATAAAATAGGTTAAATGAGGAGGTAAACATAATGGGAATGCTCAAATGAAGAGACAGGGAAAGGAACAAGCTATGTTTATGGCATTAGAATTGAAAACAGCTATTCTTTCCATTTAAGCAAATCAGACAGTAGCAACTTTAATTGGACTGTAAATTTAAATATATTCTCTTCAAATGTTCAGGCTATTATCACAAATGCAAAGACAAGTCTAAACATTCAGATTGAATGTGTTTTCTGTAGGCCTTTGTCTTTGCCAGTCTGCCTGAAAAATAATATTCAGGCATGCAGCATCTTTCTCCAAAATGATTTTCACAAGGCAAAACCCACACACTTACATTAGGAAAACCTTATAAAACAGGAAAAAATAAGGTACAATTAATAACAGCACAACATTTTGCACTTACCATGTCCTGTTCAAATCATCCTCTTTTGATGTTTACGGCACATCTGTAAGATGCAATACTAGGAGGTGCCTTGTGTGACCTGCTGCATGATGCTGTGACATCAGTTCAGATGATGCAGCTCATTATGGGAAAGACTGTTGTTGCTATGGCAACTGAGATGTGATACGAATCCTTACTGCATTTCCAGGGGAGTCTGAGACAATACGGAAGCCCTTTAAAGAAACAGACAAAATGCAAACAGGCTTTTAAAGTACAGTGCCACAGATTTTAGAGCCCATGTTAGCATATGCCTTTTAGTACAGAATATTTTAGACAAATTATTCCTACATGGTGATACAGAATTGAGATGTGTGGGCTATAAATTATTTCTATATTTAAAACTTAATATTGTGTGTTTCAATTTAAGAACAATTTTTGTAAGTCAAATTTGGTTATCATGTCAGAGAACCTTTTAAAATAAACAGTCAGTAGCATGACTTTTAATACTAGGGCTGTAAAGATGGTAGTTATTGAACAGTATTTTAAGAAATATATTTTTTCATGCTGCCCCACCCTGCTCCTACATCCAATCTGTCATTTACAAGAAAAATCTTGTTGCTAGGGAAAAACACTTGATACTTCAAAATGAGCAGATTTCACACTGTTGAATGAATGACAATGAGTTAAAAAAAAAAAAAAAGGCAGAGGGTGGCTTTTTATTCATGAGAGGGTAAAGAAGTTTCCAGCCAACCAAGTAAAAATCTCCTTATCATTTTTCAACTGTAGGGCAAACTGCACTACCATCTGCATGCTGAGTAGCCTGGCTTTCATCTGCCCATCAGACAGACAGATGAGTGAAGATTCCAAAAGCTGCAGACAAGCTTCTGCTAGTGCCCAGTGGGCCACACTGCTCTTCACCTCCAGGTAGAGCAGGAAGGCCAGCAAAGTAGAGAGCCCCTCCCCATAACCTAAGTGAAGGACTGGGGTTGGAGGCTGACCCTGTAGATGTTACCTTCTGCAGCAGGAACCTGCTCACATCCTCTTTTCACAGTAGTGATGAGAGAAGCAAAGACTATGTGAATGAGCTGCCTGGAAATTAAAATTCACAGCTAAAGAACCACCAGCACATTTTTGGCCACTTGCCAGTTTGATTTGGTGAGAAAAGTTTCTGGCAAAAACTGCTTTCCCTAGCCATGAAAATCCCTTTCTACATGGTAGGGGAAAAAGTACACAAAAGGCTGGACCCTCTGCTCTTGATAATGTGAAGCCCAGTGTAAAACAAAAGCCCAGCTTAAACCAAGAAGCCTTAATGTCCTGAAGATGTCCAGTCATGTCCAATGAGGGTGCCAATGTCTGAAGCCCTTCATTCTTTTAAACTTCATCCTGTGAGTAAAAATTTTGATATTTGATTTCAGAAAAAACCATACAAAATATTTACACACTCTTACCCACCACCCACCTTTGAAAAAAAATAAAGAGGAGCCTTTGATATCTTTTGATTAATTGATTAAATACAAAGCCTCTCCATAAATCTAGGAAATGCCATAACCTTTCTAATTAGTGCTGTCTTGACATGGTATGGTCTCATTCTTGACAGTTTCTCCCTTCTATTAATCCTATGTCATTCTGAAAAACACAATAAAGCTTTCAAACTGACTCAGTATCAAAACCAATCTAGTGATCCATAATGAAGTGCTATGCACAAAAGAGCTGTAGTTCTAGAATTTTGAACATTTAAAACTTTCTTAGGTTTCCGAGAATGTAATTCCCGATATAGCAGGGGACAACATTATTGAAACACGATTTGGGTTGGAATGACATGAAAACTAAGGTATGTCATTGCAAGTTAGCAGTTTATAGTGTGCTGGATGCCATTCTGTTCAAATGACATGAGTTTTTGAAGTTTTCCTTAAAGGAACTATTTTTGATTTGTTAACTACTATTTGTAAGATTGCATGCCAGACAGCTACACCAGGAACATCCCAGGCAGAGTGTAAACTAAGGATTTGTTGTACAGGTCTTATGAATGGTACTATGGTGACTTTACATGGAGGACTGCAACCACTACTTGCTAAAAATGTATGAATACAAAAGGTAGCACTCGCAAACTTTGTAACCTCCTAATTAAAGCTGCAGGTCTAGAGGAAGAGAGCTGGATGTAGTTGTTATGGGGGTTTTTGGGTTTGTTTAAGAAAAAAAATTAAAATTAAGCTTCTGTTTCAAGACAGCTGCGGTTATTACCCCAGCTCAGGACTGACATATCTTCTAAATTTAAGCTTTAAAATTGCTTTTTATTCGCATTCCTTCCAGTTCAGTGGAACAGAAGATGGAGAGAGAGAGCTAAAACTATTCTATCGCCACACGAATATCTTGATCATTCTGAAGTATAACCAGCATGTTTCCAAGCCAAAAGCACAGGGCTTTGACTATAACTTTTTCCTATCAAAATAGAGATATTTTATCCTCTTTCAATCATGACAACGCAGGTCAATGATGGGCATAAATTACTAGCTTTAAATTCTTATTTTAGTCACATTCTGCCTCTCCAACAGAAGCTGTTGCATTTCTCCCTTTCCCCACATTGGCACCCCCATGGTTGTTTTGAAAGGAACAAATTTTACTGATATTCATTTGAAAGGGAAGAAGTGTTTCATCTACCTACTGCCAATGCTTTCGATTTTGATCAGCTTATGTGAATAACCAACATTTGCACAATCCACAGAGATTTTCAATAAGCAAGTCTTTGCCATCATTGCCATATAAGTAGGCACAGCCTTAACTTTAAAAAACTTTATTTCCCTTCAGTGAGTAATAATCCAGAGATTAACCTTGACATGATTTACTTTCCATTTAACTATGTTCAAGCAAATGAGCTAGGAGTAAACTCACAAACACAACTAAACAAAGTAAAATGCTATTGTAGACCTTTTCTTTGCATAATTGAGACATTTTCTTCTGTGTTGTTTCCCCCTCCAAACAAAGGAAAGCAATTGCTACCTGCTTGCCACCCTACTGACATAGCCAACAGAGAAAGGGGAAAGTACACTGAAGGACCAAAGGAAATGAGAATTGCATATTCTAAATTACCTGTCAAATAAGCCAGAAGCAGGCTTTAAATTAAAAATAAAATGCATAAACAGCACAATCATAATTTACTGAATGCTGATGCACAACAGATCAAAGGAAACCTTGATTCTCATTCAAGATTTTGTAATCTGCTTCAAGAACACATCTCCCAGATTTTGCATGGAGTGCCTTAACCAAACAGCTATATTTATCAAGGTCTCTATTCTGATGTTGACTCTGTCAGAAGGAAAGGCTAGGTCATACACATTGATAACCCTATCCCTCTTCTCTAAATGGAAAGGGATATTAATCAAAGTGTTATTGAATCTATTGTATTGAATCTGTCAATTGAACATTGCATTGCAAAGGAGAGTTATACACAGTCTCATTAAACATCTATGTTTACCTACACTGTTACGTAGGGAGTATTTTCCATTCTGTCATCAAGGTCATTTGAGCCTCTGTTCCTACAGTAAGGGAGAGCCGGCATGGGAACTGCTGTTATGGTGCAAAATTGCACTCTTGTATGAAGTAGAAACAGCACAAGTGATCCCACAACTACACAGCTCAAAGACACTAGTCAAAACCATACATCAGTTTCTTTTAAGTTTGGAGCCTCTCATATGTACTAAATCATTATGTTGAGAAGACTTTGCCTACATGATGGACTAATTCACACTTGTTACTATAGCCTGAAGGGGATCTGCATCACTGATTTCCTATCTGCATATGGGTCACTGGTTTCCTATTTGCATCTGGTCCCAAGAGAGACCATGAGACTACAAGACTTCAACCACCCAAGAAGGATATTATTAACACAATAAGAAAATGCCCTAGGTCTTCAGCTTATTAAAATAATATTTATATAAAAAAAAAATAATAAAAAATTTAAATAAGCTTGAGATTTTCCTCCTTATGTTATTAAATACAACTTATCTGCAATATAAAGACCAGTCAAGTTTAATAGTAAAACTTAAGCTTTTTCAAATCAAGTTGTAAATCTTGATTCCAATACTTTTTGCCTACTCCATCATTTACTATAATAGACAGCACCATAGGTCACAGTCTTGGTTTTGCCTCTGTTATAGCCATCTCTCTTGACTAATGAACCTCATCACGTGCACTTTTCCATATTTTCTGAACTTATTTCTCATGTTTCCTCTCCACTTATACCAATCTTAATCAAAGTTGGGACCTGATCACTTCATATCTTGAAAACTGCAAAATCATTGTCTCCAAACACCAAAGATCAGTTTTACTCCTTTCCATTCAGGATATTACCAATAATTTTGTCTTTCTGGCTCATCTTATGTTAAGCTTTAAATCCTTAAGTATTAAACATAATTAATTTTATTTTTACACATTGGAAAACTCCGTATAGTTTCATCTTCCTGCTCCTACAAAATTGACTACGTTTCGCTCTGCCAGTAACTTTCAAGCCTTTTCCTCCTACAAGCACTTCATTTTCCACTCCCTCCTGCCAACAAGAAAAACGCTCACTAAAAAAAAAAATCTTCATCTTTATTAAAATTCTACTAATATTGCTTTGCACAGTTATAATCTAATTTGTAAACAAATAGGAAAACAACAAGCTGACTGCCATCACTGATTGACTGCCATACTATACTTGGCCAATATGTTCTAAACATCCTATTTGCTTTCCCCACCTCAGCTTTCTCCAGTCAACCTGTGATGCTCCTCCCCACTTGTTTCACATGTTCACTATGTATTACCTTTTAGGAACAGGCTAGTGGCATAAACTCAGTACACACAAGAGACTGAAAAATCCATGGGAGAAGATGAATAATAATTCCAGCTCCAAGAGGCTGCATTTACAGCTATTTGCACTGGAACTGGCTGGTTTAAAGTTAGCTGAGCATTTTACTATTAGGTTTAAATTTAGTTTAGCTTAAAGCTAAGTCACCTCCTATGCTAAAACACAGCATGTAGGCTAAAACACAGCATGATTTCCTATACTAGTTAAAGCAGGGATCTATTTTTTACAATCTGAAAGCAACAGTCATTTAACAGAAACAAACAA